CCTACACTTTACTGCTTGCTGTTGACCAACTTCCTGGTCCTGTGCTGAACCATTTGAGTATTATTAAAGTAAGTACCAGTGGTGTGTTAGCTTTTCTTTTGACTGAATGAGAAATCAAAAGAGTACACAAATTAAATTCTTTATCTTTAGTAATCTTAAAAATCCTGTCATCTCCATCATATGAGATGTGGATATTCATGTCAGCAGTAGGTGACTGTAGCCTGCCTGATTAACCATATACCAAATACCAACATATGTTTGTATGTGTTTCTTTACCCACTTTTTGGTTGGATTTGTAGCTCTGTAGCTTGATCATCTCAACAACATCTGTTCAGAAAATAAAAGAAAAAAAAGTATTAAAAACTTGGAACCCTTCCCTTCCTTCCATCTGCTGCTTTCCAGATGAAGTCTTGTTCTGACTGAACTAAAAAAATCCACACCAGATCCTGACTACAGATCATGAGGACATGTGAGCAATCAGGACATTTGAATGTTTCATCTGTGTTTGTATGAAGAAGTCTGTTAAAAACTACTCCAAAAATTCTATCCTTTAAATCAGCAAGCCAACTTCAATCCCAAAAAATACTTAAGTGCATGCTTAATTCATTTTTATTAAGCATAGAAAGTAAGCACCAGATTAATTTTAAGGATATGTTCAGTTTTATTTGGCTTAATATAGAACATGTGCTTCAGGCATATCCTGAGAAGAATTCCAGCCCCCACAAAATAAAGGCAAAACTTCATGACCAAGTTTTTACCAATGGAAAATAGGATACGTGCAGCAAGATGGAGCCAAATCCAGCCATGAAATTCATATTAAAAAAAAAAAAAGGGCAAGTTAGTGATGTATGAAGTTTTGTACTTGAACTTAAACTCCTTTCTGTCTCAGAAGTTAATTAGGTTTTACATTTTACTGGAACTCCAATGGGATTAATCTTGGTAGAATATCCAGGTTGCAAAGATATCCATAAACAGGAGTTTCACCTAATATATTCAGGTGAAAATTCATTGAATTGGTACAGGATTACTTTCAAAAAGACGACTGACTTCTTTGAAACTTGGCATTTGTTTTCTACAAATAAAGATCAGAAAAAAATGAGATGTTCATTTGAATTGGATGTCTTTCTAAAGAATGCTATAGTTAAACCATAGAAACCTCTGCCCAGAATCAAGCTCATGTTGCATATATTCCAAAAAATATCTTCAGCAGAAGCTAAACTAGATGAATCAGAAAAAGTTGCAAGAAACTTCATGGTAAGAAAAAATAAAATGATTTTCCACTGCTTTAAGATTCATCCGTATATTTAACAGTTAGAGAATGAAGCTTGAAATTTTCTGCTTTATTACTAGGTCCATACAGAAATCCACTTTTTGTTTTTTAAATCTTGATAAAAAGAATTGCCAGCTTATGGAGGGAAAATCTTTGCATTAACAGAAGCAAAACCCAGGTCAAGAACATATTCAGAGACATTGTGTTATAAGGCACTGAGGTTTGTAAAGAAAAGAGTCAACTTCCTGAAGCATGTTTCTTAAAAATAAAGTCCAGAGAAAATGAAGCAGTTGAAATCCAGAATCAAAGATGATGTGTAAACTGCCTTTGATGAGCATCAGAGCACAAATCAATGTAGAGAATAATCTGTAGGTGAAGCTGAAGGGCAGGCTTGGCTGCAGTGATCATGAAATGGTGGAGTTCAAGATCCTTAGGGTGGCAAGGAGGGCACTCAGCAAGCTCCCTACCCTGGGTTTCAGGAGATATCATGGTTACTTTAAAGAACTGTATTGTGATGGTGTAAATTACTCCTCCTTTCACAAAGAGTAATAACACTATATGTAGCCGGCAACACCTCCTCATTTAGAGAACTTTGAAAGTTGGAGAACAGAGGTTTAATTAAGTTCCTGTAGATTTGACAAAGCAGTTTCCAATGTGTCATCTGGATGTCTTGCTTTTAATTTAATTGACTACTGCTACCTGCATACCTGGAGTGTGGGCAATGTGTCTAATAGTAGCAGTGTCCAATCCAAATCACTGTATGACTGCAGGTAAAACTGCTAACTTACACTCAAATGTGATAAAATCAAAAAATTCGGAACTTCAGACTGGAGGCTTATTGTCCAGATCACCCTCTTACTTTCTCTGAAAAGGAAGAGTTTAGTAGGAGATCATGTAGATCTGTAGCTGATAGAAAAATATATTTGCCACGGGCTCCTTATACAAAGATGCAGCTTTTCTGGGGAAGAATGTAAATATGATAGTTCCACAAAATAGTTTTATTCCTAGTGACTTCTTCCAAACGCAGGGTAGAAACGTGCAGGGACAAGAGGGAAGACACACACAGATCAACCATTC